CCCAAAAAGTTTTGCCCCCCCCCCCCCCCCCTCTCTTTCACACACACATGCATACATGCATACTCGATACTGAAAGCTACACAACAATTCAAGAAGACAGCTGCAGACGGCTCCCTGAGCGCAATTCTTGCGGTCTGTTGGCGGAGTTACGGGTGTCAACGTGTGATGTCCATGCTCCGCCGTTTGTTATTACCGCCTATGAAGACCAAGGGTTGGTCGAGAAACGACCCCCCTTTTGGGTGACAAAATGTATGCCTCCTCCCGCGCCTCTCTTTTCACCGCTGACTTTCTCTCCATCCAATCAGGAGAGGATACCACCTCACACGGTATCGTGCCTCAAGAAGAACCCGTTTTGTCTGAGCACGAAGTGGAGCCATCAGAGCCTTCGGAGGCTGCTGCCGAGCCCGAAGAGCAGCAAGGTGCGGAACAAGAGCAATCGCGGCAGCCCTCGGTGCCTTTGGCGAGCCCCGCAGCATCGGTGGCAGGTGAGGATGCATCCGGTACCTCGTGCGCCGTACCACGGCCGTTTCGCGTCTTTTTGGAGCATCTTCATTCGCGTGCGTACAACGGCAACAACAACGAACGCGGTAGAGACCCTGTGTAAAGTGGCGCTGTGATCCGCGTGCGCCGTGACCGGGATGTGCTTGTCGCCGTAAGCTTCCTCGAATTAGGCCGCTAGTTCCGTTTTTTTTTTTTTTTGGCGGGGGTTTACCCTGCTGATTCCCGGTCTTATTTTCAAGACTCATGTGCCCATTGGTTCTCGCTGTGGCGAACTCACCATCCTGGCACCGCTGGCGTCCGCGTAGACGTAGCTACAAGGGCGGAGCCGCGTTACACATACATTCCTCTGCACCCGCTGTCCACCTTCAGCGCGAAGCGCGTGTACACACGACCGTAGCTACGCCGGCGTTGAAAAACACGAAACCGCCACGGAAGATGAGATCCACCGCATCCTTCTGGGGGGGAGAAAGAAAAGCGATGCGCAGCACAGGCACGCAGACCACCTCTCCCCTTTGCAACTTGACACCCAACCCGTCAACTCAACCAAGACCGACATCCAACACGACCTTGACCGACCATGTCATCCGTCGTGTCCGAGAACGCTTCTCGTACTTACTGCGACGGGGTCAGCGACGCCCCCAGTCGGGTGCCGTATTCTCGGCAAGTGTATCCAGCCTGGGGCTGTTGGTAATCCCAAGTGTCCTCGGTACCAGGGGCGGGGGGTTACGACGTGGCGGCAGCGTTCTTGACGAAAATAGTTCACGACATTCAAGGAAGGCATGTGTTCAGATCTGTACTTGTGTTTGGTTGTGGACGTCGTGCTCGGCAACAATGTGCACTTTACCCACCTTCCTCGTTTGTTGGCGCCCCCTGCCATTGCTGGAGGCTCTACGTCGTTGCCCCGTTCGGTTCGGCTCCACCGCGTGACGACGCAAAACATGGCCGTATCTCGACTTTCGCTATTCGCAGGTCGGCCAAAGATGTGGCAACGTCATGGGGGGACTTGCAAAACTGACAAGTCAACGAGCTGGAAGAGCTCGTCATCACCCGAAGTATCGAGCCTTGGCCGCGTCAGTACGTCCCCCACCTCTCCTGGATCGCATACAACGGGCCACAGGGGTTGCCTATCGACAACGCTTCTTCCTTATGCAAGGATTATCTCACAACCAAATGCATTTGGACGTGACATAATCCTTCCATAAGGAGGCTGCTTTTGTCAATAGGCCTCCCGTGTGGCTCGTCGTGCAACCCACGAGAAATGGGGAAATGTATTGGCGCGATCAGGCCTCAACGCTTTTGGCGATGACCTCTTGTCACCTCCAACTCGTGTGCCGACAGCTCTTCCAGCTCGTTGGCTTCTCTCTTTGCAAGTTCCCTCATGACGTTGCCACATCTTTGGCCGGCCTCCGAATAGCGAAAGTCGAGATATGGCCATGTTTGCGTCGTCACGCGGTGGAGCCGAACCGAATTGGGAGACGGCGTAGCCGCGCCAGGAATGGCGGGGCCCTAGTAAACAAGGACCGTGGGTAATGTGCAGGACATGACGTCCACTACCAAACATCGATAGATCTGAACACACACCTCCCTTGAGCGTTGTGAACTGATTTCGTCAAGAAGGTTCTTGCACGGGTGGCGCCACGCCATTTCCCCCCCATCCCTGGCGCTCCGAACACGTGTGATTGCCAACATACCCCACTTGCCGAGAATACGGCACCGGACTGTGGACGTCGCTGAACCTTTGGAGGTGAGAAAGGCGTTCCCGGACACGATGGATAAATGCTGTCGGTCAAGTGTGAAAGGCCGTGTTGGATACCTATCGGTCTTGGTTGAGTTGGCGAGTCGAGCGTGAAGGCGAATGGATTCGCGTAGCAAACACCAACGACGCCTTCATGGGTTTTCGTCGCTTGGCTGCGATGTTGTAAGAAAAGCCGATCACTTCGTGAGCCCGGCAACCAGGTTATGCTTTTTTTTTCCTCTGTTTGTTTTTTTGGCGGTAAGCGTTTGTTTTTTTGGCGGTAACCATAATGGCGGTCGAGTGGTTATGTTGTGCGGGATCGAGAACCCTAACTCCGCGCCAGGGGGATAATCGCACCAATAAAAAAATGGTCAAGCACCCTCGAGGCAGTTACACAGTGCTTACTGTCGCTGGAAGTGAAACACCAGAAAATTATATAAGTCACCGCAGCTGTCATCAGTACGCAAGGAAGTAAGCACAAGATGCCGAACACCCTTAGCAGGATGCAGCTCACCCTTCATGCGACTCGCCGAATACCTCACGGTGCTTCGCGCTTGGTGATGTGAGAGCCTGGTCCGGTGAGAACCCGGCGTCCCGGCGTGCTCTGTCCCGGCTTTGTAGGGATGCGAAGTCAATGGTCTAACGACTACGGCATGCACGACCGTGAGTACCCCCCCCCCCCCCCCCCCCCCCCCCCC